ACTTAAACCAACCTTGCATTCCTGGGATAAAGCCACTTGATCACTGCTTTTCTTCACTAGTGTTTTGTGAAAGATTTTTTTTTTTTGCATCTATGTTCATAAAAGATATTGGTTTAGAGTATTTTTCTGGAAATGTCTTTGTCAGGATTTAAATAAACGTTATTCATGTTTCAAATCTGCTTTATTCAAATGTTCACCACATGTGACTGAAATGTAACTAAAGCCAGAAAGGAGAAAGGAAGATAATGTCTTAGCAGTATTGTTATTATTGCATTGGAAAAACTGCTCTATTCTAAGGAGGGAAGAGAAAGATTAGAGCAGAATGAGAAGGGATGGTGAGGGCGAGCAGCTCAGAATTGACAAAATGCCCACAGTGGTTTTGGGGTTCCTTGCTCTCCCATTCATGATGCCTGACCATCAACTTAACTGTTCCTAAAAAGTCTTTCCTCTTATTAGATTTTCAGGTGCAATTACTCTTCCAGTTATAGTGGAAAACTGATATATTTTCTCAAGACAAATCTAATTAAATGTAGAAAATGTTGAAAGGAGGAGACATATCAAATGCTATATGTGATAGATGGTATTTTAAAGGTGATTGAAATAAATAGTTACATTTAGCAACCTTGGTCTTCTCAGATGGTACATCCTGAGGCCCTACTATGTGCATGAAGTGTCTGGGGATAAGCAGGCAGTGACCAGAAAGACACAGCCTGGAATCTGGCCATCTGCAGTGAGTGACTACAGAAAGGCGGCTCTAGCCCAGCACAGGGCTGGGAGGGACAGGGCGGGGGACAGAGATGATGGAGGGGGTGCATGGCAGGACCAGCAGCATCAGAGGGAGACGGGCAAGGGGAGCAGGAAGGAGAGTGGGAGGGGGAGACGGGCAGTGGTGGACGGAAGGCTGAGCCACCCAGGGCTTTGGGGAACTAGAGGTCTGCAGGCTGTCGCCCATCTTCTGGACCACAGGACGCCAAGGATCCCTGCGGCTCCTGTAGGGATGCTCCGTGCCTGCCCTCTGCAAGCTGAGGCCGCAGCAGCACACAGCCACTCACTGGCCATTGCTGGGGTAACCATCCTCTAATATAAATGGCAGAAGAAATTAATCGGGGCCTGAAACTCGGGTAAGTCCCTCAGGCACCAGCTCAGGGACTCTGTGTGGTGACAACACAGGCAGGCTCCACGCTCTTGTCCGATTCGTGAAAACAACAATAATATTCAGGGCCTATTACGTCAAGCCCTCCGAGTCCCCTGGCTGAATACGGGTGAGCAACTCCACGAGGGTAGATCCAGACCTGGCGTGGACGGCAGGGGTCGGTGCTTTGCTCTGGAGGTCACGGGCACCTTTGGAGAAAGGTGGGTCTCATCACCTGCCCCAGCACTCCGCTTCCAGAGTCTGTACCCCTCCAGCAGACTTGCGAGAGACTCGGTGAGGAACTTCCGGATCTGCCCCGACCTGCTCCATCTTCATAGCGTTTCCGTGGTTTGGTTACTGAAGGTCCTTTCCCTCACAATCTGCTCCCTTAGCACGCAAACCCCACTGGGACAGGGGCGTCACCTGTCCTGCCCCAGTTACACCCCGAGACCCCAGAACAGGGCCTGGTCCGGGGCGAACAAGCGCATCCTTGCTGGAGGAATAAACTGATCCTCTGATGATAAGATGGCAATGGCTGGATTGTGCAGACTGGCGGTCCCTTTGAAAGGAGCCAGTTCAACTCACTTGGGATGGAAGCTTTGGTCAAAAGGCCTGGCTCAGGCTCCCCCGTGGACAGAATCTATGGGTCTCGGCGACTGTTATGTCCAAGCCGCAGTCTGACGGTGAAGTGGCCGTGACGGTCCTGGCCGTGCAGCCCTGAGGCCTGAGCAGGTGCCCGGGTGGGTGAGGCGCCGTGCATGCGGGCCGTGTGGCTCTGAGTTTAATTCGGAGGGAAGGACCGCCATAGACAACACGGTGGTCCGGGGCCCCGTGCTCTGTGGAGAGGGTCGCTTGTTCGGGCTCAGGTGTGACTTTGTTAATCAGGCACCGGAGATGGGGGCTGTGGCCACAAGAAGCCGGTAGGGAATCCAGGCCCCGGCCCACGCGCGGCCTCTCTGCCACCATCCATGCCGGACCCCTCGCAGGGAGGCGCCGCTCTGGCTTTGGCTCTGGTCCCGGGCACGCACTGCAGCCTCAGCACAGGCACGCTGCCCCCTGTACCGACTCCAGCGTGGGAACCGGGCGTGGGGACCGCATGGGGCACCAGCCTGATGCATGTGAGCTCACGCACGTACGAGGTCGGTGCGGATCATCTACTCCGCGAGGAGATCCCGCGTTCACTTCAAACCCCGAGAACCTCAAGCGTCAGCTGCTCACCTCCGGGTCCCCAAGAACAGACTGACCGAGAAGGCGGCTCTGGTGTGGCCAGCTGTCCCCGGGGACAGGCCGGCTCTCCAGGGTCCGGCCACCCCACCGACAGTCACCAGGAACAGAGAAGGAAGAGGCCCCAAAGAGGAGGGTTTTTTTATGCTTAAAATCAAGTCCATCCACCAGGTGCCAACCACGTGGCCACTTGATTGATGGCGGCAAATAAGGGCTCTCAGTGCTGCTGGGAGCGCGCCTTTGCGGAAAGCCAGGGATGAATAAAAGATATGAGAGCGCATCAAACACAGCGCAAGGACAGCGCGCAAGCAGTACATTAAGCATTATGGAGGCCATAAACGGGCAGGCGGAGCTGGCAGCCGGGCCCGGGGCGCAGGGCCGCGGGAGCAGGACACACGGACCCTTTCCCGCGGTTCCTCACTTCTGGGGTGGCTCAGGCGTTGGAAGATCTGAGTAGATTAATTTCTCCCGCCTCGTCCCCGCTAAATTACAAGGGCCCGGTGCTCGCTCGGCCACCGGCGCCCCCACCCCCGGGCCCTGGGCTCCCCTCCACACAGAGCGCCGTGTCAACAAAAATGTGATAGTGACATTTCTCTCTCTCTCTCAATTACAGGCAGGCTTTTCCCGCCAGCGTAAAATACATATTGTGCTCCGGCGAGGTGCATTGTACAGGGTCAGCGGGAACTCATTGTCCTGCTTCAGAACAAGAATCCTGACATCTGTAAGATCCGCTGTAAATACTCCAAGTGGCGGAGACTCCGCGCTGGGCCGGGAGGGCAGGGAACAGGGGGGAGGGCCCAGGGGAGGGAGGGGGACAGGGACAGACAGATGCTGAGGGATTTACCAGGGGTAACCCAGAGGCCTGGGCTTGCCTGGAAGGTTTCGCTGAATGTTTTATCTGAGTTCAGGGGAAATGACTATGTGGCAAATGTCTACAAGACAACATCAGCTGTAGTGCCCACTGCAGCCAGGAGGCCCAGCAGGGCCCGTGGTGGGCCCGGGGTGCGGTGTGGCTGTGAGTTCCAGTGGGGAGGGCGGGGGACAGGAGGAGTCTGTCCCCAGTGCCACCGAGCCACTCACTGGGCAGTTCGAATCCGTAACTGGAGCTGGGGTGGGGGTCAACCCGCACAGAGATTCGGGAGACAGGCCTGCTGGGTGCCGGTCCCCCCGCAGAACGGCCGGCCTTTCAAGTCGGCGTGGGGGCAAATCAAAGGCAGATCCGACATCCAGCGGGAGCGGCTCTTCCCCGGAGGAGCAGCTGCTCTGGCAAAGGAAACTTGGCGACAGGCAGGGGGCTGCGTGGATGACAGACAAAAGGACTACAAAAGGGAGAGATTCTGAGGGAGATTCTGTCCCCGCAGCGGCAAGACGGGAGGTCCCACTCAGCTTCTCCTTCCCCACCCGTGATACAGGACTGGGCTGCGTGTGTGTGCATGCATGTGTGAGGAGGGAGAGGCTGAGTGAGTGTGTGCATATGTGAGGAGGGAGAGGCTGAGTGTGTGTGCCTGTGTGCAGAGGGAGAGGGTGCGTGTGTGCATGTGGAAGAGGAAAGAGGCAGAGTCCGAGTATATGTGTGTGCATGTGTATGTGCAAATATGTGCACATGCATGTGCACAGATGTTCCTGTGTGCATGTGTACAAAGATATGCATATGTGAGTGTGCATAGGTATGCATGCATGCATGCACGCGTGCGCACGTGTGTTTGTGTGTGTGTGTGTGTGTGTGTGTGTGTGTGTGTGTGTGTGTGTGTGTGTGCGCAGGTCCAGTGCATTTCCCCTGTCCTCATCAGAGTCTGTCAGAGGTAGAACGGAGAGACAACTGCCTGGGGACTTGGCTTCTGCTGTGTCCGGTGCCGCCTCCCCGGGTGTGAGGTGACCACGGCGCTCCCCAGAGCCCCGTGCGGCGCTGACTTTGCCCCACACCCCGCAATGAATTCTTTTCCACCCCGGACTTCCTACCCTGAAAGACAAAACCTCTTCAGCCGGCACCCTTTCCCTGTGGCCAGAACCAGAGCACTGAGCATGTGATTTCAATTTGAAATTAAAAGTCATGTCTGAATAACAGAACGGCATTCTCATTTCCTAATACCCCGGTTTTTACTACTTTGCATTCAACTGTGAAAAGTCTTTTAAAACTCGGAACAGCAGTAAAACTTGAATGAATTTTTGACCCATTATTGCATAGCGGGTGCGCCTTCCAAGTCGGAGAGACTGCCAAGTTCTCCCCACCTAATATTTCCACTTTAATTGTGCCACTTGAGAAATTTACGTGCCTCAAAATATGGCATGAATCTTACGCTTATTGCAGTATCATTAGCAGCAACATTTAGGCAACATCTGTGTGCTATAGAACTAATTGAAGTAGCAGAAGTGGCAGCTGTAAATCCACAGGAAGATGGCAGTTTGCACCCAGCACTGCTGAGCTAGCTGCTAACTGTCAGCCTGTTCCCGCAATCTGCTTGCGAGGACCACGGCACAGGCTCACAATGTCCAAAAAAATACCGCGACGGGGCTAATGATCCTATTAACCACTTTGCCGCACCAATTTGGCTGTTTTTCCAGTTTCCTTGTTGAATTTCATTATAAATTTCTCCATTCCTGTAAAAAGTCCAGCGTGAGACGTGTCTGACTTTAAGCGACTTACCTGAGCCGAGAAACGTGCGTCTGGCCAGACCGAACGGAGGATTGATTTTTCGGTTATTTAATCATTCCGCTCCCCCACCACCAACTCCTTCCCATCGCTTAAACATTTTTATCACACACGTCTCTGTAAAAAAAAAAAAATACCTTTAACATCCCTGGTAATGTTGATATTTAAAGCCATGGCATTTTCTTCCCACGGACATAACATTTTCAATAATCAATACAAGATGGCAACCATAATTTATTACCGGGAGGGGGTGGGGAGAGACGGCAGGACGGGCCAGGAGGCCCCGGTGGTTTCAGGGCCTGGGGAGCACCAGGGGTGAGCCCCCAGTTCACACATCACGGCCGATGAGTGGAGGCAGCCCCACACTGGGGCAGACCCACAGGGCACTGCCTGCCTTCAGCGCTGACAAAAAATAACAGTGATGCTTCCGCACGGAGAGCAAGCCAGCAGGAGTGAGCAATCCCCGAGGCCCCTCGTTTTGGGGGAGAAACGCGGGCACTGGAGCCAACGCTTTTACTCAGAATATTCCCTCTAGTGAGCACCGCGGGCAGGAATGTCATTGACGCCTCCTCCAGGGCCAGCCCCGCGGTTCCCGCTCCGCTTTTGCGTGTTTTTGTCTGGCAGGGCGTGGAGGCTCCTCCCTCGCTGCCGGCCCCGCGGCAATAATGTGACCGGCATCGCTCGGAGCACGCGAGGGTGCTGGAAACACACAGAGGAGACCCCTTCAATCTACCAGGGCTGGTGTGTTTGCCAACAACCCGACTTCATTAGAAAATTGGCACGTCCGCCCCGCTGCCTTGTGACACACCGTTAACTGTGGACATTTGCGGTCTTAATACTCAAGGACTCAGGGACCAACTGATAAGGGAGGAACTGCGGGGCCTGCTGACCCCCGCGCCTAGGGTGGCACGCCGCCTCTCCGTATTGAAAATCAATAGCCACGTGACTGCGGCGAGGTCGGAGGTCTGCAGAATTAACTTCCTGGCACTGAATTACGAACCCTCGTTTCTTGGTTTATTTTCTAACAATCACACATTTGAAGGGGACCCGGTTAGAAACCACTCAGGAGACACAAAGCGAGAACCCAGGGCCGCAGGCTGCCAGCTGCCGGTGTCTCCCACCAGCTCGGTCCACGAGGGAAGGATGCAGAATGCTCCATCCGTCTGCAGTTCGTTCTTTTGTTTTTTAATGTACTTCTGCCTTAGTGGCCGAGTTTAAATTGCACAGAGAGCGGGTCTGGAAACTATCCATCCCCGACTTATCACAACGAGGCAGCTTAGTACCAACACGGGTGCTGTCCCCACTCCTGGGATTTCCTTCCAACTGAGAAGCAAGCCCCCAGGCCTAAGTGTTAGACTCGCTTCCTTTGGTGACTTCCGAATGAGTCGTTAAGCACGGGTGTCCCGGAGCCTGGCCCCCACATGGAGCCTTTACACTTGGAAACACAGAGGCCCCCATCATAGGTACAAGGGTTCCGTCTACTGATACTTTTATTTCCTAGTATGCTGAGAAATTCACATTGATTGATTGGTTTTAAAGAGAACAAAATCCCAACACATAATAGCTCGAATGGGCAAATACTACATCTATAATTTCCAGAGCAAAAACCAGTTAGTGAGCAGAGTGGGCCGGTACCCCTTTACGCGACCCTCCCAATGCCATGGCGTCTTCGTCCAAACTGCGGGAAGGTCGGGCCTCGCGGGGACGGGCAGCTGAAAAGGTGGAGCAGCGGAGCAGCCCTGCAGAGAACCGGGGGCTGCGCGTGCGATCCTGCACTCACGCTCCCGGGCAGGCGGGAGTGCCTGCGGGTTTGGCCGCTGTGCGGATCTGGAACCCGCCAGCGCCTTCTCCGCCTCACGGAGCTCCGCTGGTCCCGCCTCGCCGGGAAAGGCTCAGGGACCTGCACGTGGCTTTGTACCATCTCAGTGTCACGTGGAAAGGCCGGCTCCCGAGTGACGCCGGATCTTCCCGTGTTGACACGTTTCGTCACGTGACATTGAGACGCTCATGTTTGCTAATATCACCACCAAGCTCATCAGAAAGGTCTTTAAGGATCCAGAAGCTAGAAAGCTATAGTGGCAGATACAAGTTTTTAAAAATTCTAATTTTTGTTTAAAAACGTAAGTTTTTATCATCAGTAACGGAAGGGCCAGGTTCGCTTCCTCCACTTGGAGAAAACGTGCGGCAACACAAGTCTGAACGGCCATTGTCGGCCGTTGTCTCTTAACGTGAAGCCTGACCAAGCCGGTGGCCATGGGGATGGTCCCAGCTCCCGGCACGCACGGTCCCTCCTGACTCTCCCTCGGCTCCTCCGAAGATTCTCTGGTAAGTGCTGTGCTGTAACCTCTGCTCAGGGCAGTGCGTTGAGGCCATGGGCCTGTGAGGTTCTGGGGGTGACGGCCCCTCAGACACCCTGCTCCAGGTCTTGCTCGGCTATGGGTCTGAAAACTTGGCCAAACCTTGTTCCCAGACCCAAGGCCTGAAGGCCGGGGCCCCACTGTCGAAGCCCTGGGGGTGCTGCACACCTGCTCAGACGCCTGTCCCCAAGAGGGGCCATGAGTGCCCTGGGACAGCGACAGGGGCAAGCGTGGCTGAGAGGCTGGGACTCCCATCGGAGGCAGCTGCAGAGCGGCTCAGGCAACCAGACCGTGCTGTTTGCATTTGGGGAGCATGGGCTCCTGCCCGGATGGGGCCAGGCCCCTTCCCACATGTGCCAGCTGCCACGATGCCGGCACAGCCTGGCCCCTCCGGCACCAGTCTTGTAGTGGGTGCTCCCAGCCTGCTCAACCAGGAGTGAGAAGCCCCCTGGCATGAAACTAGTTCAAGGGGGTTAACACTGACCAGTTTTGGAGTCACCCATGGGGCCAAGAATCTGATTGGAAATAGCCACACGGCCATACTGGACTCTGACCTTCAATGACTCCCAGAATTTTCCAAATTCTGGAATACTTAATATATGACAGCAAGCTGTGAAACAGTATTACAAGGACTCCAGCGAACCTACAACCCAGACCAAGAACTGCAGCAGCGCATGGCGGCGGGTGGGTCATCCAAGGTGTCTGTGCTAGGCTGCCCTCCAGCCTCTGCCCTCGACGCCCGTAGAAGGCTGCACGTGCGTGCATATGTTTATTTAAAGCGATATATATCCTCTAGGCTTGAGAGCTTTATAAAATGAGTGCTGTATACCCTATGCAATTTCCTGCAACTTACTGTTTGCGCATCTGAATTCATTGGTGTTATGGCACAGAGCCTACTCACCGTTGTTGCTGCGCCATGCTATGCCACACTATGCCATGTGACCCACCACTGCCCGTGGACTGGGTTGCTGTCTTCCGGATGGACGTTGGGATGGAAGGTGCTGCTCCCGCCCTGCAGTGCCGTGCACGTGCCCGAGGCTCCCGGATGGGGGGATGTGCCTGGGAGTGGGGAGGGGAGGGAAGGCTGGTCAGAAGCTGAGGACTGTCCGCACTGCAGGGAAACACTACGTGAGTGCCCTCGGTCACCGCACACCCAGACCAAGTTTGCTTCTCGGTATTTTATAGACACTGCCCTTCAAACTCCTGGAACATCAACCCGCATTAGTTCTAAGTGCGCATGGCCATGAGTGGGCTGTTCTAGACTTGATTCTGGAACAGTCAGGACTGGCATCAGTACCCAGGGTTCAGCACTGACCCAGGGCTGAAGGCCTGGGCTCAGGTCGAGGCCTCATGACTTAAAAGCTGAGGGATGTGGGTCACAGCACTCCCCTTCCCTACTCGGGGAAATGCCAGGTAGGGCGTTGTGAGGATTGGGAGTTTTGACCAAGGATGGAGAGGCTAGCTTTTGTTGGCAATGCTACATACTTACCAAAATGCTTTCTGAAGATGCCCAGGAGACAGAAGTTTTCAGGGCAGAGCTGTGGGCACCCCATCTGGGGAGCAGGGACCCCGGTGCCCGGATGAGACCATCCACCATCCCACAGTGCTGGCTCAGGCTGTGGAGCGCTGGAGGGGAGGCCGGGAGGAAGGCCCCGGCCGGTGCTGGGTAAGCTGCCTCTTCACCCCTGCGGGGCCCTGGCACTTGGCTGTGTTGTCGGGAACACGCTCGTTTTTTTAGAAGTTCAAGACAATTCTTTTCAGGAATGACTTTTGGAGTTGGGGTGTCTTAGGTGGACCCGAAAGCTCAGCCACCAAACGCACACACAGGCCACGCTTTTCCGAAGCGGAGGCGACCCAGTCCGCTCGCTGTCAGGGGCCGACATCGCCTCCCTGCGCTGGGGCCCGCGTTGTTTTTGGCTCGGACTCGGCCCCGCGAACCGGCTGCTGTTTTTCCAGTTGCGAGGAGAGCTTCCAGGGCGCTCTTCAGACCGTCATCGTCTGGTCTGAAGTGTAAACACTGCCACCGTGGTTTGGAGAGAGATTAATGATTCGCTGACACCTCCACACACCCTTCGGAAGCGAGCCCCAACGAGCACTTTCCTCCCCGTGTCCACGGACGCCCGGGGACCCTGCCCCCGTGGTGGCTGAGTGGCTGGGGAGCCGGGTCCGGGCCGGGCATCTTTTCTGGGCCAGTGCCCGCCGACGGGAAGTTCAGCATCTGTCCTTTGTCAGCCGGATGGGCCGAACTGCTGCGAGCTGGTCTGCCGCCTCTGGAGGGGAGACAAGCAACCCCACGAGCTCCCTCCTAGAGAGGAGGAAGCTGAGGTCACACAGCCTGTGCGGGCTGACCCACCAGCACTGACAGCCCCATCAGGCTGCCCACAGATAAACCTCACCTGGCCCCGCCCAGACCAGCCTGCAGGTGCTGAGCCAGGGATGACCAGGCCACCGCAGCCCACGCCGTTTCCCTGGGGCTGCAGGGCCGCCCCCCCACCCCCGCCTTCCCCAGGTCCTGGGGCCGCCTGCCAGTTCCCTCATCTCTGTCCCAGGTCACTTCATCGGGCAAAGGTGCCCAGGATACGCGTCCGGGCAGCGTGACCTCCAGGACAGCCCGTCTCACTCACGCCACTGCCTCAGATGGCTCCTGGATGCAGGCAGGTCCGTGCTCTACTAGGGACGCCGCCAATGTGCCAATACCAGGAGGACCGGCCAATTACATTCCACATCAGAATTTCTTATATTTCAATGTTTTACACTAATTAGTTAGTCCTGTTAGCTCTAAGGATTAGTACCTTCTCTAACAAGACACAGCGACATTGAGAGACTTACCTAATTATGTAGAACGCAGGGACGCGGGGAGGAGACGGACGCGGGGAGGAGACGGCAGGCTTCCCTGCGCCAGGCTGGGCCTCGCTGCCAGGCACAGGCGCCACCCGCCACCCGCTCGCAAGGGTCCCTGGGGAACAAGGAAGGGGGGACGCAGGCCTGACTGGACAGGAGGCCGGGGTGAGGCCCATCCTTTCCTCGGGGCTGCCCTCCTCATGGTCTCCGTCCCTGCCAGGCCCGGCACTGCCTCCCAGCACAGAGACCAGAGGCCACAGCAGCCAGGCTTCAGACCAGCATGAGGGGCACGGCTGAGAGTCCAGCCGGAAGGCCCTGTGTCAAAGTGAGGCTCCAAGAAACCTTCCCTGGGGAGGAGGAGGGGGAGGAGGGGGAGGAAGAGGAGGGAATGGGAGAGGGGTGGAGAGGGCTGGAGGCGGGGTTGAAGAGGGGTTAGGAGAGAGAGAGGGGAGGGGGTAGGAGAGAGGGAGGGGAGGGGGAGAGAGGGGGGGGGAGAAGGAGGCTCAGCAGCACCAGCCCCCACCCTGTCCTCCTGAAGATGTGTTCATCTACATCTGAGACCAATTTGCTGGAAATGAAGAAACCTGTCACATTGCTTCCTGGCACGGAAGTCAGATGTTTGCATGGAAAAGTACCGACAGCTACATACCTCTTGGTGTTGTAATATTTAGCCGTGTCATTTTACATCTCAAAGAAAAAGCACTTTAAGTAAACGCATGTTCTCCATTCACAGGAGGTGTCCTGGCCCGGAGCCGGAGCGGCTGGCTGCTCTGGGCGGGCGAGCAGCTCCTCCCGTGGGCTCTCCGTGGCCCCTCCATCGGTGCCAATACTCCCGCACGCCCTGCCCTCTCAGGCCGGGCCTCAGACTCTGCAGTCGGAGGACACGGCCGCCCTGGAAATGAACACACTCACACGTGCACCCGGAGGGCTGCGGGGCTTTGCTTCTCTGGGGTGACAGGCAGCCAGGCCGGGGCCCACGGCGCAGGGAGCGTGTCGCAGGGGTCAGGACAGCATTCCAACGCCCCTCCTTGCAAGAGAGGAAGGGAAGGGCTCACGCACCTGTCAGATGCAGCGACACCAGCTTTTCCCAGGGAAGCTGTAGAGCTAAACTTGCATCGTGTGCTACTGGATTTGCCATGAGATCACCGAGTTCATTCCAACAAAATGACACATTTTTGGATAGAATGTACTTTACCTTTAAACTGCCGCCGTCTCCCATGCTGCTGCCCACTGTGCAGGCTCCTTCTCTCATCATCACCCGGTGATGGGGCGTGGTCACTCCTGGCCCCATCCTCACCCGCTGCAGGATGCCCACCGGGTGCCATGAGTGCAGAGGGCGAGGGGCCAGGCCAGCAGTGAGCCCTGGCGTGTGCGGGGACCAGTGTGGGCACTCCGCAGGCTTGAGAGAGGAAGCACATGTCTTCCCATTACGGGGAATGTCAACTCTGTGAGGGCCGATTTCCTTCCCAAAGTGACACAGGCACAAGGACTGGGTGACCATGGCCTCCTCTCAGCGGCCGAGGCAGGGGCGGCCTGCACCTGGTGGTACAGGAGCAGTGAGAGCCCATCCACACTCCCCACCAGCAGGTTTGGTCATCCCGCTGGCCCTGCAGGGAGTCCCTAAAGGTGGCCAGAGTTAACCCTTCCTTCTCAGGGGCGCTCTGAGCTGCTCTCTGCTCCGTTCGGATTTAGTGATGGGGACACTGGACTATCTGCAGTGAGGACACCCCAACCCCTTTTACATGTGGGGGGTCCGAGCTTCAGGGCGGGTGGGTCACGTTTGAGCTCACTTGCTCATGGGGGTTGGGGGTATCTGAACCCAATTTAGCTGAATCTGAAGCTCAGTTCTCTCTCCTCAGAGGCTAGGGGGCTGGGAGACACCCCCAGCCCAGAGCTGTCCCACAGGGCGGGGCTGACGCCTGCTGGGGGACCCGCATACCTGCTCCCACACAGGCTGCCAAAAGTCTCACATCTGCAGCCACTTCTCCTCGTAGCTATGGCAACCCAAACACGCAAAAGCAATACTTTTTGCACAATATCACATGTTGCCCAATGTTTGGACACTGATGTTTTCTCCAGCTGGGTTTTTCTTCATTTAAGTCAACAAACCAATCTGGAAGCCAACATGCTGCTTGTGTTCGGGAGCCAAACAACAGTGATAAGTAACCTGAAGCTCTAAGAAAAACCTGCAGGGTGTGTGTGCTGTGGGGTGTGTGTGTGTGTGTGTGTGTGTGTGTGTGAGAGAGAGATAGTGTGAGTGTGTGTGGGGGGGGTGGGGGTGGGTGAGAGTGCGGGTGTGTGTGTGAGAGAGAGAGATAGTGTGAGTGTGTGTGTGTGGGGGGGGGGAGAGGGCGGGTGTGTGGGTGAGAGAGAGA